AAAAAAAAAAACCTTGGGGTATCTTTAATGGATCCTCTAACTCCCACTTAATGTATACACTCTCTAAGACTATTGCTAGTCAGTTTTCATAAACAAAGTCAACTGGCCTTCAATCTGTGACTGGAATAACTGACGGTAATACTAGAGAACAATAGCGACTATCTATGTAACATATTAAAGCATAACGGAGAAAATGATTGGATAACCTGGGAGTTACTTTAAGTCACATTTAAAATGTCCTCCATAAGATATTAATTATTGCTGTGATTGGGAAGTTCTTGGATTAATTTAAAAGATTTGGTGTTGGATAATACAGCGAAGACTATGACATCTGTTATAAAATAACTATATACTCATGTGCAAGCTAACCAGGCGCAGAGGTTCATGCCTGTAATTCCAGTACCCAGGAGACTGAAGTCAGCTTGAGTTATATGCAAGTTCCAGAACAGTGAGGAATTCATAGCAAGACCCTGTCTCAGGAAAGGAAGGGATGAAAGAGAGAGAGAGGAAGGTAGAGGGAGAAAGAGGAAGAAGAGAAGAAAAGGGGGGAGGAGAGAAGAAGGAAAGGAGAAGGAGAGGGAAAGGGAAACAAAGATGAAGGAGGAAGGATTCCATATCCAATACAATCCTAGCAGATTGCCCCTGGCTTCTAGCACACTCAATACATGATTAGTGATCATTAACTTAGGTTAGCCTTTCATGTAGAAGGATATTACATTTGTTCTTCTACATCCTCTACATTCTCTTTGCTTTTTGACTTAAACTCTGACTCTTCCACTGAGTACTTGTGCAAGGAGCTTAACTGTACCATATTCAAAATGTTTTCCTCATTCAGAAAGACCCCTGCAAAGAAACAAAACCTGGATATTAACCACAGTTCTCCTCTTCCTGGCTGATTAATTTCAATGTCTGTTTTATCAACACTGCCCTTTCAGAATAACATCTTAACTCACCACCCCAGTCATAAAACATCCTCCAGGAGCAAAATTTGTGTACCTTGAAAAAAAGTAAAACACCTAACATGCCTATATTTGTAATAGGGCACCTTCTTGACCATAGCTATGCCATGTTAAAGTTTAGGCTGACTCCAGTTTCTGAAATTATCAAGCAGTTAGCCCAGGGTATAGGAACACATGCCAGCTGGACCCTGGTTGTCTTGGAAACAGGTCAGAGTATCCTAGAGTGCTCTTGCTAACTGCTAATTTATGGCTTCTGTAGGTTATGCTTGGCTTGCTTCTGCAAAATAGTGATTGTCGATTAATTACAATAAAAATTATTAAGGGACTCTCCACCTGTATGCTGGGGAACTTAAACTTTTCACTCCTGGTTATAGTTTCTCTGTACAAAAAGTATCTCAAAACATTTAGAGGTTCCTAAGATACAACTGCTATACAACAAAACCCCCCTAGTGGGAATTTTGTGACTGGTGAAGACAATGTAGAATAACAGTAAGATTGATAATGTCAGTTTATGAAAGAGGAGAAAGTTAGTTCCATACAGGTGTGGGGTTTGGGTGGTAAAATTGTATTTTCTTATGTATTTCCTTGATAATGTCTGCTCAAGCTTAATGTTCAATGATTGCCTTTTATATTCTGCTCGCTTGCCCAGCAACAAGTTTAGTATAAAAGAACCAGAGTGCTTAGGCTCGGGGCTGCACTTAGACCCTCTAGGAAAGAGTGCAGACAGGCCGTAATAAATCTTTCTTTCTTTCTCTAGACTCACCTGTCTGTCAGTCTGGGGCATTTGTGGATCACAGACTATAACAGTATGAAGTAGCATAATTTAGCTACGATTCCTATACTTTATTTTAATTGTTCTTTCCCTCTCTTATGTGGACCCTTTAAGAATGCAATGCTGTTTACAGAGCTTTCTGAGATATTATAAAAAATAATACCTACAAGAATATCTCTATAGATTATTATCCATTAGTAGTATTGTTATCCTTTAAGTCCATGGATATAACCACGCTCTGATCTCTCTAATTTTATATGTACACAAGAGAAAAAGAAGAATCAACTTAGAGGGGGGAGAGAGAGATTTGAAATATGTGTGTGTGTGTGTGTGTGTGTGTGTGTGTGTGTGTGTGTACAGCATGCGCAATTTTATTGCAAAATCCAATTTGCAATAAAACTCTCTACATCTTATATCAAAGAAATTATAGAGGAAAATATCTCCAGTGGCAGAAAGAATTGCCTTCATGTGGATGTTGATGGAGTCAAAGCTCCAGATGGAGTTATTTGGGAGCTGTGTTCTGAGCTTTCACACTGCCATTTATCAGCGAATACCTGCCTCAGCATTCTGTTTCCGGTTTCCTTCCAGCATTCCACAAGCCCAAGCCCGGCTGGTAACACTCAGGGCATATGACCAGGTGTGTAGCTGGAAAGGTGCTTCACCTTTTCTATCGAAATCCCACTGCAGCTAGGAAATGTACTTGGAACTGTGCTCCTTTCAGATTCCTACTAAAGTCATCGATTAACCATTTTTTTAATGTCACCAAAAAATAAGTTTCACATTGAACCAAAGAGCTAAATACAAAGAGGTAAGGTCCTCAAACTCACTACTAAAAAGAATACAAAGAGGTAAGGTCCTCAAACTCACTACTAAAAAGAACCTCCATAGCTTTCCTATCTGCTTAATTCCCTGGTGGCCAGACAGGAGACAGTAAACAGCAAGCTACTTGTTATTCACTATTCTCAAAATGCCCATATTAGATCACAGTAAAAGATATTTTTAATGTCAACTCAGTGGGAGTGGAGTAAAAAAAAGCTTAGTTTCAGAAGTCCTATGTGATGCTAATCCAAAAGTTGAAATATATGAAACAATAAAGTATTTATAATCGTAAAGTGTCAATTAGAAATGATTTTATAAACATTTATTATCCATATCATTCACCTTAGTTAATAAATTAATTATTTAAAAATAAGCCATCATGTTTTTCTCCATCCAATTATTCATCTATTAAGAACTTCATTTGGATCTGCATGAGGCAGACCTGCAAAGCCTAAAATGAATTCAAAAAATCTAAAGGCCAGCCATGGTGGCACAGACCTTTAATGCCAGCACTCAGAAGGCAGAGTCAGGCAGATCTCTTTGAGACTGAGGCCAGCCTGGTCTACATAGTGAGTTTCAAGGCCAGCTAGGGCTACAGGGAGACCCTGTCTCAAAAAAAAAAAAAAAGAAAGAAATATAAATTATCTGTTGCTTTAGTCTCTAAAAGACTCTGGGTTTCTGAGAGAAACATCTGTCCTTCTAATTATTGTTTCCTATGAAACTATGAAAAATAACATTAGACCAATCTACTTTCTGGGTTATTTAAAGCTAAGGGAAGTAATATTTGTGACAGCACTCCAAAGGGAGGAAAAAAAAAAAAAAACTGAAGAAATTCAAATGTTATAGCTAATCTTTCTTAGATCTAAGAAACTCTGGAAATAACTAGCACATACCTGAATTTTTCTCCTCTTCTCCCTTTTTCTTATTCTTTTGCTTTCTTCCTCTCTATTGGAAGACTGACTAAGCAGTTTTTTTGTTTGTTTGTTTATTTGTTTGTTTGTTTGTTTGTTTCCTGAGGACCATTTCAGGGCCAAGACTCAAAGATCTAAGAAGCCTTTTACAACTTCAAGTATTCAAAACGTTGCTTATTTTGCATTATGTGGGCGTAAGTGAAAGGAAAAACTTGTCACTGCTTTTAGATTTTATTTCTATTCAGTTCAAAGCACTTTCATTTGTTAATTCAAATAGGAAACTAACTTAAAAAAAAAAAAAAAAACAGGATCGCCTGTGGTATGATGCTAAACAACGTTAAGCAAATTACAAAAGCGCTATTAACTTAGAAACTAGCTGGGCATAGTGATGCATTCCTATAATTCCAGCACTCTGGAAGCTGAAGCAGGATTGTAAGTTTCAGGGCAGCCTGGCCTATATAGCAAGATCTTATATAAATAAAAATAAATCAATATAGAAGCTCAGAAAGTAACCAACTGTGACTAGTAATAATCAGATATTTAGAGATTAGAAATGCATGTGCAAACATCCAATGTCAATTGCATTGAAAAAGAATTTTTCTGTATGAAACTGTGTATTTTAATAATGAAATGGAGATCCTTTTTAAAGTTTAAAACCTCATTTAATTTTATGTCTTAAAGGGTTTATACGGAGTACAATATTGTACAACTGTATTAATTCAACTGTAAACCTAAAAATTGACAG